CTTCAGCCCCAGACACATCAGTCCTGGTTTGACATGGAGGACACCACAGATTGTGTAAGTACTTTCCCCACCCGGTAGTCTTGATGCCTTCTATGGCTGCTTTTCAAGTAAATTCCAGTCCTCATCTGCTTTTCCTGAAATTGGCAATTTTTTCATAGCTAATGTAAGTGATGACCTCTTCAGAGCCAGAGAAATAAGAAGCCAAGAGTCTACCAACTAAGCATGTATGGAAGTTCCCTTTTGTTTTCTGAATTGTCTGCACTCCAAACACAGCTGAATTCAAGAACGTCTAGTTTCCCAGATAATGCCAAGACACCTGCTTCAAACTGCAAAATCACATGATTTTGAATGAGCCTAATACATACCACAGTTAAAGATGTTTAATTCATAGCCAGAGAAATGGCTCTGTGACTAAGAGCACACACTGCTCTTCCAGAGGACCAGGGTTCGATTCCTAGCACCAACATGCTAGCTCACAGCAGCCAGAGGTTCCAGCTCCAGGAGATTTGACACCCTCTTCTGACCTCCACAGTTTCAAGAGCAGGAGGTATACTTCCACATATGCCCAAGGACACACACATGCTCAAAGTAAAATAAAGCATTTAAAATGTTTAATTTATGATACTAATTGTGTCCTCATATATGTATTTTCCTAAGCACATATTATTTTAAAAATTTGCATTAGAAAAATTGTGATTGTTTAGCATGACAATATAGACTATATTTTTGGGTCAAAATATATTTCAGATATGTTTCTCTTTTAGTTCTGATTCCCATATTCTTCCCAAAAGGGAGCCATCTCTGAGCTTTCTCAAATGGAAAGTTCATGTTGTTTCAGTTACATAAGAGATTGCTTCCTCTTCTGTAACTGAAAAGTTTGAACTTCACACGGCAAGCAGATGTTGCCCCTGTGTTGCCTCCATATTCATTAGCCTATAATGAATCTATTAATTGAATATGTAAGTTTGACTAATTAGACGGAAGCTATTTCTTCAGATTTAAAGGGTAATAATAAAAAATTTAAATTGCATCACCAAATCAAGCATTTAAGAGCTGATAAATGTGAACTGGAAAGTGCACAATTCCAATATAAATTAGTTGATCATCTCTGTTAATTTAGGTGAAATACATTAGTGGAAAGGTCAGTCCATTTGAGACTCGATCTGTTTTTCAGATACTAAATTTAAAATAGCGAAGAGAGAGAACGATGAGATGAGGAGGCACAGAACCCCGCTCTGATCCAGAGGCGGAAGGGTGGGACCTCTGTGATGAACACCCACATCCAGGCCCCCATCTGAATACCAGTCAATACCTTGGGACCCTTTTGAATGTATTCTAGTTCATGCTCTGATACAATGCTCTGACCAAAAATAACTAAGAGTCTATTTGGCTTACACTTGCAGTTCCCGGTCTATCACTGAAGGAAGACTGGGCAGGAACTCAAGCAGAAACCATAGAACATTGTTTATAGGCTCACTCCCAGGTTCATGCCTAACTAGCTTTCTTATATAATCCAGGATGCCTTGCTCAGGAGTGGGGTTGCCCATAGTGGGTTGGGCCCTGTAGTGACATTTCAATTGTATTTTAGTAAGTAAAGCTTACCTGAAGATCAGAGAGTAAAACAGTCCCAATGGTCAGCCTACAGACCAGGCAGTGGTAACATACACCTTTAATCCCAATAGCCACACTAGTTGCAATAAAAACCAGGTGGTTATGCCTTTAATTCCAGTGGTGCACGCCTTTAATCCCAGTCCTAGAGAGGATTATAAAATGGGAGTAGACAGTGCTCGGTCACAGTCTCATTCCGAGATTCCTGGAGGAAGGATTGCCATTTCCAACTGAGGTCGAGGTACGAGCCAGTGGCTGGCTGCTTTGTTTTTTGGATCTTAAGGATGAACCCCAATTTCTCTCTCTAAGTCTTTATTAATCACGCTCCAGGGTCCTCCAACATCACTTAACAATCACAACAGTTCCCCCATAGACATGTCTGTAGGCCAATTTAATCTGAGTAATCCCTCAGTGGAGATTCTCTTCTCAGGTGACTGTAGGCTGTGTCAAGTTGACAGTCAAACCCGACTGAACAGAGAACAACTGATGTCTCTGGAGTGGAGCCAGGCATTCATACATTTTTTTCTAATTCTCTAAATGAGTATAATTAGACTCAAGGTCAAAAACACTGAACTGTTCCATTAAGTCTGACTCCTGCTCCCAGCTCAGCAAGAGTAAGATGACCAAATACATACACATAAGGAAACTGACAACTTCGAGAGATGGCTGCTTTTCTGCTGTGGGGAAAACACGCTGGTTTCTCCTCTATTTCCTCTCTTTCTTCCTTCAGCGAAGGGTCACGTACTTGAGATAACATCATTTGGATTCAGGAAGTTACAAGCATTGTCAGTTCCCAGCATTTGCTTCTGGAAATCCCAGTTTATAAAGATGGGTTATATCTGTTACCTTTTCACACACACACACACACACACACACACACACACACACACACACACCTCACAAGGCGGCACTGTAGAGACAGTTGGTTCAGTCGGTATGCTACAGTATTTGTGGCCCTGAGTTCAGTCCTCAGAAACCATGGAAAAAGCTAGATGTTGAGGCACATGCTTGTGATCCATGTACTGGGGAGGCAGAAACAAGGAGAAAGCAGGGACTCACCGTCCAGTCAGCCTTGCCCGATCAGCGAGTTCCTAATGAGTGGCTATATCTTTAAAAGCATGTTAAAGTAGATAACTTCTTGAGGATCAACACCCATGGCTGTCCTCTGGTCTCTACATTCTAGGATATACACATGAGCACACACACATGCATGAAAAACATCACAGGTGTTTTCTGTTGGACCTCATGTTGGAAACTCCTGTCTTTATCTTTCAGGCTTCATGTCTGTTCCTATGGTGATCAGAAACACAAAGAAACCCATAGAAGGCCCTGGCGAAATCAAATGAGGGACTTTGTCTTTTCTGATGCCTTCTTTTACAGTCATTCTACCTTTGTCCTGCAGCTCTCCAATGCTTTGCATATTTAGTTACTGTCATTCAAACTCACTACAAATACAGGACTAGGGCCATGGGACATCACACAGGTTTGTGTGTGTGCTTTTGTGTGTTCTTCATAGGCTAGTATTTCCAGGTTTAACAACAGTCTCAAGGGAGTCATAGTTCCCCCGAAGGGGAACATGTATGTCTGTAGCAAGATTCCTTGCTATTTGGTTTTGGGTGTCCAAACGGGATGTTCATGTCCTAGCCATGAAAGTCTCCTGGTTTTGCCCTGTGCCTTCCACACAGAATTTATAGTTGAGAAGTGGTTAGCATTCCTCCTCTGCTGCAAAGACAACTAGTGGCCCCTCCCAGAATGCAACAGAGGACACCAAGTGTTGGTCTTTTAGTGTTGTTTTCTAGTGGCTATGAATGAGTCTCTATCCCAAACATTACTGTTTTCATGAGAATCTCTTATGCCCCAAAGATCCTCAGAATTGAATGTCTGCATAAGCCCAGCACTCCAGGAAGGAAGGACATGCTGAGGATTGAAGAGTTCTACAGAAAGTGATTAAGAATAAAGATGTCTCTATAGAAGTGGGGTTTTAATAGTCAAAAGGAAAATATAAACTCAGGAGAATGAAAGACAAAAAACCTGAATTATATGCCAAGCACTTAAATGGTTAAAAACATCTATTAAAATCCCCTACCTGGGCTGGCAAGGTGGCTCAGTGGGTAAAGGTGGCTGCTGCCAAGCCCAACTACCTGAGTTTGGTCCTGGAGCTCCACGTGGTGGAAAAAAGGAACCAGAACAACTTTCAAAAGTTATTCTTTGACCTTCACACGCACACCATGTGCACCCACAATTCCCCTAACACAATAAATGCAAAACCTGATGGAGTACTAGAAATAGCTGTGCCTAATCTGTGGCCCACACGGCTCTATCTTTAAATTCTCGTGAGCATGCTCTAAGCAGAACATTTTCTATGACAAATTTGACTTTAAAAAATCTTTTAATAACACTTTTTATTCTAAACCAACTTCAATCTAAAATTTGACGGAATCCCCAACATGTCTTAGTATCAGACACAATCCACAGGTTAAACTCGGACACATTCACCTGCACGTATGCGCCGTCAGCTGCAGAGGGCGCTGATGCCTTTTTCCTCAGCCCTGGCGGAACAGATTGCCAGCTGGGCTCTTCATGTCCCCCCCCCCCCTTTAAAGTGTGGTTGCTGATAAAGGGTGGCACTCACCTGCGTACTCGGATCACTCACTGTAGAGCGTACATGAAGTAGAACTGGGCCTTACAACAAACACAAATCTAGTTCCCACTTTTAAAATTGTCTCCTGGGGTCCCCCAAACATGGAGGATCCCTTTCAAAAGGAAAGTGGTGTGCTATGTATTGAAGCAGAGCTTTGGAGTCATAACCATTCAGTGACCTGCTTCCTGAAACCACAGATTTCCCTTTTCGTGGAATACAGTGACCAGAGACCACATTAAGAAACGAGGGAGTTAATATCTAGAGAATTTTTATAGCCAATAAATGCCCCAATTTCAGCCTCTTCTGGGCATTAGGAGGAAGAGCTAATTAAATGGGTGTTTAGATGATCAATAAAAAAGGGTTAATATCGATGTTAAATAAGTGCATTTATTTTATAGAATTTTTATAATGGGTCCAAAATACTTCATTAAACATTTCTGGGTAAAAATAGGCAAAATTCTTTATATAAGCATTTGTTAATGAATTAAATGTATTTCCCTCTAAATATACTCTGTGTTAAGCTTGTCAGAGTTTTCAGGAAAGATTTTAAATAAAGTGGCCACGCACATCCCATTGGAGATGGATGAGACCATTAGGAGACATTTAGATCTGAAACAAGCTCTGAGATCATTCTGCATATAACCCAAGCCCTCTCCCCCCGTTTTTTTTTTAATATTTCAAACAATGTGCCTCTTTCAAATCATTAGACTTAGAGACATTTAAGGAACTGATTCGATTAACCCGGATGATAGAAATGCTATAACATGTGATTTATTTTTTTGAAGATAAATTACAATGTCAGCATATCAGTTAGAAAAAGGTAGGCTGTCGGCACCGTTAGTGATGGAAACGGGAAAGCCATTAAGCAGGCCATCTGACACTGGGATTGTTCCAGAACGTAGATAGGGGCTTGACTTCCTTGCTGAATGTGCAGCTACTGTCGAAACAAAGGTTCCTTCCTGGAAAGGGATCTTTATGTCCCATTTGGGTTCCCTTGTTGATTTTGAAAGCATCGTTCTTAATAAATACTTGCATAGTCTTAAAAGCAGCTAAAATGCAGCCCAAATGGTTATGGTTTTATGCCTTAAAGTCGACCTTCACATAAAACCCATGCCTTAAAATTACAAGGTTGCATTCTATTTTTCAGGTGAGGAAATTTAAGGCAAGAATTTATTTTTCTCCTCTACAACTCCAGGGTATTGGCTCCACTAGGCCTATTAAATTGTTTTCACAAGGAAACAGAGCATGTTGGAGTTTGGTTTTCCTGGTGCAAGGGGGGTTCAAATGAGATGTGTCCTAAACAATAAATAAGTACGGACTGGAGAGGCAGAGAGGAGAAATACTGTACTGATGGTGGTGGTGGTGGGGAATATGTTGTAACCAAATAAGGAGAAAAGAACAAACTTAGAAATATGAAAACTGTTTTCATAATTACAGAATCAATGGATTCAATGAGATGACAAACAAGATAATAAAGGAAATGAAGGAAAGAATGAAAACATTGAGGAGGGGTATGGAGAGGGTCTTTAACACTGAGGAACGTAAGTCCTGAGGGTCTGCAAAATGTAGACTAAGTCAGGCAGCGGTGGCACACGCCTTTAATCCCAGCACTTGGGAGGCAGAGGCAGGCAGTTCTCTGTGAGTTCGAGGCCAGTCTGGTCTATAAAGCGAGCTCCAGGACAGCCAGAGTTGCACAGAGAAATCCTGTCTGGAAAAACCAAAGGGAAAAAAAAAGAAAGAAAAAAATGTAGACTAAAGAACTACTATAGCTATAATATTCTGTTTCCTGCTAAATTTGTTCCACCTTGAAGTCAAGAAGTTGGTCCAAATGTGGCCAGAATCTTGCATTTAAGATGGGGGAGTTATCCCATCTTAATCATGAAGGAAACCATTTGTAGAAAACCTTGAATGTAAATTGCAGATTGAAAGACGTGACAAGCAACAAAGCTTACCACCTCAGAGAACAAGTGTTCCTTACCCTGAGAAGGTAGGGAAGCTGTCTCCACTAGTGGAAGTGGCCAGCTGTAGTCCTTTGGCTCAGAGCAGACGATAGAAATGCGCTACTGTGACCCACGTTGTTTTAGGAACTGAGGAAGACAGATGGGAAACAACAGAGGACTCAGATCCTGTGCTGATCACCCACTGTGTGATTACAAAGTGTCATGGGGAAGGAGTCATGAGGGAACAATTAAACCGGCTGTCATTGAGCATGATCTGGGAGTAGCCTCCATTATCGTCCAAGACAGAAGTCCATCTATGTGTAACAAATGTTGACAATCTTACGGTCCGTGGATACTGTCCTTTCAAACTGGAGCTAGCAAGTAAGAAATAGGTCAGAAGTGGAAACTCAGGCTTATGATGTGAGACCACTCAAAACCAGTGGTTTCTAGTACGTGACCGTCCTTCCAGACCTATTCAGCTGTGGGTCCCAACACAAGTTTCCCCCATTTTCTTTCTTCCTCAAAAGTTTCTGTTGGCTTCTCAGAACCTCAGCATTAAGGTCCCCACAAACATTGGCGTCCCCACAACTTGGGCTTAACTGCCTTAGCAGCCTGGTTTCCTGCTCCTCTGGCTGCATCTAATGCTCTCTGAACTTTCTCCAACAGCTCTGTCCTGGTGCTTTGCACACTCTGCCTGCAGTGTGCCTACTTCTACCTGGGCGGGTTTCACTTCTCTGGTCACAGCCGCTCAAAGGTCAGCTTCCCAGATTCTCGGCCTCTGCCTGGCTGGAGCACCGGTCCTGCCCTTGATGCACTTCTGAGAGCAGCCCTTCTTAGAGTTGGTGATGCACATGTCTAGAAGAAAGGTTGTGTGTGAGAACTGTGCCCTGCCTAGAAGATGGGGAAAATACCTTTCGGGGGAGGGAGGACAGGACACGAACACAACAAAAAATAACTGTTTTTTGCTGGTGCTTTTTCTTTTTTTTTTAAAAAAAAACAACAAAAAACAAAAAAACAAATCCTGAGATCACCCCCCACACACCCACACCCCAAGATATGGCCTTTGGTCTCTTCTCGTGTAAGGGAGGATGAACTTCTGATCCTCCTGCCTCCACCTCCCAAATGAGTGCTGGGATACTGAGTCTGCAGGCATGCAACACTATCCCGGTTCTATGTGTGCTGGGAATTAGCACACATAGAATTCTAGACAAGCACTTTACCAACGGAGCCACCTCTCCACCAAGTTCTCCTCCTTCTTCCTCAGTATCTGGTCTTCTACAGCGTAAACAAAAAGAGATTCTCACGAGCAGATTCTGTTATTAAGACAAAGTCTTTGGCCACTGATATTCTCCATGAACGGAAATCTCTCAACCACCTAAATTAAGGCCATTGCTGCTCTACGAAGCACTCCACTCAGGTCACGTCAGGCAGATAATCTGAATTCTCAGTGCCTGCATCTGGTCTCACAAACTCAGTAAGACCACAGCATTCTGTCTGTCTACACAGCACCTAAGCACCAATCATTAGGCAACTTTCGTTGAACATATTTAAAATCCATGTTTTCTGTATAAGCTAAAAAATGGTTCTGAGTCAAGGGGTTGTGAAAACGACATGAGGGGAGAAAGAAGCAGTTGCTCAGAAGTTCAGAATCTTCCATGGAAAAAATTGAAGGATACAAAATGGAGAAGGTTTGTGAGGCTTTCACAGGGATGAGGCGGAAAGTCTTAGAAAGTTCTTTCTATATGGGGCTCCAATAGTTGCCCAATGATTCCCTCTAAGCCTATCTGGAGAGAGCTGTCCAGCTTCTTGATTGGTACCCATCTTTTCCGCCATCTCTACTATCTAATAGGCCGCTTGTTGAGGAGAAGGAATAGAGGTGGAAGCTCAACTTGGGGGTCAGACGGGATGGCAGTTGCTTCCAGACCGAAAATCCCAAGTGTTTCCGGGTGTGGTTGGAATGAGAAGAGAGGGCTGGAAGGAGAACAGAGGGACCCGGAACCACACACCCCAAGGCACTGAGGAACCGCTAGGCCGCAGGGCCGGCAGAGGGCAGCAGTTGGGCGGAGAAGCCTGGCGGGTGGCCAGCGCGGCCGGCGTCGGCTGCTCCAGAAAGTTCTCCTTGAGAGCGTGGGGCGCATCTATCACCCCACCCCGTGGCCACGCGCCCTTCGCGCTACGTGGGAGGGCTGGGCGGAGGGTCCCTCGGGCTGCTCGGGACCCGGGGGTGGGGAGGAGAGGGACAGCGGGGAACGGAGGGGCGCGGGGTTCGGCGGGACCTGAGCTCGGGCACCTCTTCACCGAGACCGTTCGGCCACTAGGCTCGTAGGGCCGCTCTCTCCAAGCCGGGTCCCGCGCGCGAGGCCGTACAGCGGCCGTCGAGGCCCCCGGGGGCGCGGCGGACTTGACCGTGCAGGCGCGCGGCGCACGCCGGGCCGTATGCAAATGTGGGCCACGGCGGGACGTCCTCATGGGCCGCACGTCCAATAAGAAGCGCGCCCCGCTTGACACCTGCCCTATATACAGCGAGCGCGCCCCGGCCGCTCAGCGCCCCGCGCACACCCACCCGCGGCTGCCCATGACTTCCAGTGAGATCGCCATGCCCGGCGAGGTGAAGGCCGACCCCGCCGCCCTCATGGCCTCGCTGCAGCTCCTGCCGTCGCCCACACCCAACCTGGAGATCAAGTACACCAAGGTAAAGCCGTCCGCGGACGCTTTCTAGAAGCTTCCCTCGGATGTCTTCCGAGGCCGGGGCCCAGAGGTCGCCTGTCACCCCCGTGCCTCCGTGGGAACGACGATGCGGGCTTCTGAAGTCCCGCCGCGGCTCGGGGAGCGTCTCCCGGGAACCGGCCCCCATCACGAGGCAGCTCGGGGGTCGCCGTCAGTGGCGGACGGCGGTGACGACCTCAGGGCTCACTGGAGATGTGGGGTTCCTCAAAGCAGGCTTGGGTCGGGTTCTGGGGTCCCCTGGGTTTTCTTAGGGCGAGCCGAGGTCCGGTTCTGGGGTCCCTTAGATATCCCGAGAGCAGAACTAGGCTTGGTCCTGCGGTCCCTCGGATCTCAGAGAAGCATGGAGTCCGGTTCTGCGGTCCCCCAAGTTTTCTCGGAGCAGACGGAGTTACGGTTTTGGGGTTCCCCGGGTCTCCTCTGCAGACCAGGGTCCGACTTGAGAGGTGGTTCCTCAGGGTCTCCTCAGAGCACACAGGCGTGCGGTTGTCCGGGTCCGTCAGTCTCAGAGCAGACTGGGGTTCCCCGCCAGGGTGGTGTTGCAGTCCCGCGTTGCCCCGCAGTCCTCCGGGTCCGGGCTGCGCTGCGCGGGACCAGCTTCCCTCAGAGCCGGGTCGCTGCAGGGGTTGTCAGGACCGGGGTCCCACAGATTTCGCGGGAACCCGGCCGAGGCACAGTAGATGGATGCCAGGATTTCTTCAGGATTTTGTAGGCAATGCACATCTTAGTAAAGAGAAAACAACTGAATTCGCACAAATTAGCGAGCTCACTTTTGCACTGAAAAAAGCTCAGTTTTTTCCCCTAACGAATTCTGACGTCTTACGTTTGCCAAGGAGAAATTATTGTTGTTAAACCGCGTTAAAAAGTAATACGCACCTGATACCCAATGTAAATTGACCCCCACCCCCACCACCACACACACTTTCTTGGGGTGGGGGGAATCTGTTTTATCCATGAGGTGAAATTTGTGAAATACGTACACAAAGGGAATGTATGTTATAGCAAGGAGGCGGGCACAGCATTTAAAGCCACATTTCCTGGGAGTTCATTTGAGAATTCTCTTACTTGATTCCCATCCCTTCCTCAAACTTACACCCATTAACTTAAATTCAGCGTGCACACACGTTACAACTAATTCGTGCTCCACCGTGGGCATTAGAAGATGCACGAAATGTAGAGAACTTAAGTTATTCGCCTCTGACACTGCAATGGTTGAAAGAGAAATGCAAAAACATCGTTTCTGAAAATTTGTTGCATTGAATTTCAGAATTAGAACTAGTAGGATTCGTATTTTTGAATGTGGATTTAGGTGGATTTAATGTACCTGTTAGCTTTTAGATGCTGTGACAAATTTTTGAAAGCCATTTTAATGAGAGGTCGTTAATGGTTATAGCCCTTTAGGCATTGTTTGCATAACAATAGTGCCAGTGTGTGGCACATCTCCGGGTTTAGGAACAAGCCAGGGAAGCATTCACATAAAAGTTTTGTTTTATGAGGGTCCCTAACCTCTTCTGCTGCGCTTTAGAGATCTTAAGAGGCAAGATGCACACGTGATTGCCCAGGGTTTGTTTTAGACTTACTTTTGATCAGCTTGTCCTAACAGACCCTGAAAGTCTGCAGTAGATATCTTTTTCAGAATTTCATTTGGAAGCTTCTCCAATTCTTTTCTCTAGCCGCCCCTCTCTTCTCTCTCTTGTTCTTCCCCAGTAGGAAGGACAACTGATTTATAGCTAATTGGAGTCTTTAATGTCGGAGTCTTTTTTAGCTCCATGAAGACTTTCATCCAGGATCCACTTTCCCACTTATTACCAAGAAAAACAATCAGAAATGAAATAATGGATTGTAACGTGATTCTTTAATTTGTGGGGAGGAGGCACCTTATTTTTGCCTTGACAAACAACCCTCGTAAATGTGAGTAACACTAATCCACAGGCGAGCTCTTTCACAAAAACGTGTAAAATCAGCTATCTGTGAGCATTCCCAGCGGCTTCTGTCCTCGGCTCTTTAGTGAGACTTCTAAATTTTCTGAGACAGGAATCACCAACAAGCCGTTTTGGCTTATTTTATTTTAACAGAAAGAATAGTGACTGCTCTTTTGATAGCCTAAGATTTTTTTTTTCTTCAAAAGGAAGAGTTGGGAGGTCCTTTTTCTTTTTTAAAAAAAAAAATTCATGATTAAACGTGAGGAAAATTTTATTATAAATTTCAAACAGAATAATGAACAAGATAGATGGGCACTCCTTTAGTGCTATTATATTTGCTAGGAAAAATGTTAAAAGGCTATGTAAATTTTATTATGTCTTCTCAGGAAACAAAACATGTGCATCAAGTAAAGGTACTATGAGGCAAATAGATTTATCATTCATCATTTTGTCCTGTTAAACATGTCCTTACTCAATGATCTACAATATGATTTTTCCATGTGATTTGACAATATAGTTAGTGACCAACATAGCTGATCAGATTATGAGAATTTAGAAAAGTGTTCTTGGAATATTTTTCATTTGTGATTCTGTATTTTTCTATAATTTTCATCATTTTATTTCTTCTTCTAAAAAGAATTTTGCATTTTTTAATAAGAGAATGGGGGAAATAGTCAATATTATGTTAATGCCATTGTGTGTCAAAGGTTCTGTAAAAATGCTAAGAAAGGGAAGTTCAATCTAGAAGCACTCTGAAAGAGCCTGAGTATGGCTTTCTATTTGCTTTTAAGCAGTTGCATTTCACTAAAAATTAAGTCTCTGACTCCAAGTTCTAGTATCCATTTTATACAAAAGATAAATGACACTAATACCTTTGGAATATGTCTATTTTCTTTTTCTCCTAATACAGGAACCTAGTCCCCAAGTTATTTTTCTTTCAGTGATCCTTATTAAGGATTATGGGTTATTGTTTGCTTATTTGTTTGTTTTTTGAGACTAATAGTCAAGAGAGAGGAATACTGGTATGAAGCATGGAGGGCACCAGGGTGGAGTGGAGAGAACGTATGCTCCCTGTGTTCTTTGAAGACTGCCTAATAGCTAATATGGAATCTGATTGCCTTTAGCTGTACTTTTCTCAGTTTTTCTGAGTGATTTCTGTTTCATCTGTCTGGTTTTTGTGTTGATGGCCATATTCTGGAAACATACACGTTGTAAAACTAAGGCTTAGCATTCTCCTAGGCACTGCTCCTGACTGTGGGACCTCTCTTCCTCTCCCTCCCCTCTCTCTCCCGCCCGTTCCCAGATTCCCAGGTCTGTAAAAAGTTTCTCTTTATTCCACTCCACTTTCTGCTTTCTCTGTTGGCTCCATCTTTCCTTCTAGCACCACTGGCTCCCTCTTTTCGTGAGCAACTGAAAAATGTCCGTAACTGACAACATGTAGGGTTCTGTGTTCTCCCAGCATTTGATGCTGCGGAGAGGCAGAAGGATCCAGAAAGAGGACATTTGTTGGGCACTGGTATGCTGCACTAGAGGAGAAAACACAAAAGGCAGCTCACTGGGAAAAATTAGAACAAATGTGCGTTTGGATGCCTATTGTTTATTCTGCTATTTGTTCACTTCACACCCTTTTAATAAGTGCGGTCTTTTTTTCTGGGCTCAATTCCAACTCTGTTCAAAGGGTTTTTGAGGGACCATACTCTTAACAATAGTGCAAACTGGATTAGGGAACACCTGCCTTCTAGGAACTTAAAGTCTTTTTTAAAAGACTGAGTGCCAAAATGTTCTTCTCAGCGTAGCAGTCGATCAGCTGATCGATGTAATGATAATGTTTGCCGTGCCACTTGCATTTTCATGGGGCTTATTAAGATTTACCTAGCACTTCCATGCATGAACATACACAGATTTTAGTCCTGTGAAATCTTGTGAAGGAGAATAAAAATAGGAATGATTGATAAGGAAGAACTTGGCCTTGGATTTTGAAAAACTGAGAATGCATCCTTTTCCTATCTATGACACTTGTTTTAAAATGTAGAAAGATTAAATATTCATTTTTGTCGCTTCTAATGGAAACATGAGGAGAGTGTGAAATCGATCTACTTCATTTGAAAGAGTCGCCTTTATAATTTTTCTCAAGATGCATTTTTATTTTATATGTATTTAGGCATCCTTGAGTATACGTATGTGTACTACATGTGTGCAGGTGTTCAAAGAGGCCAGATAAGGGTATCAGATCTTCTGAAGCTGGTGGTTGTGAGCCACTTGTTTGGGTGCTGGGAACCAAACCCAGGTCCTCTGCAATAGCAACAAGTGATTTAAAACCACTGAGCTGTATCTCCAGTTCCACCTTTATAATTTTTGATTCCTTGACTTTAATTCACTGTTTGTTATTTTTGTTGTTCTTGGTCATGATTCTTGCCTTTTC